AAAGAAAATATTACGCACCAAACGCACTTGCGATATTTTGAAAAATAATCTCCTTTTGCCCAGTTATCGGGAATTTTATTTCGTGAAATCAGTGTCATATTTCTTTCACTTTCCCCTCGAGAAATAGGAAAAACAGATTTTTAGGGGTTAAGGGGTGACGGCTGAAAATTTGACAGAATTTGTCGTCATCGGCATCGAGTCTATGTGCCAAGTTTCAGCTCGATAGGTTGACGGGTCGATTAGCTGTCCAAAAAGTGTGCATGTCCAACCCCCAGCCAGCCAGCCACCACGAACAAAAGCGACGTTGATATAAAGGATTCAAAAGACAGATAGTTTCCAAAGGAAGTCAATGTGACATTGTATGGGTTTCCTTTGAACAGAAATTGTGAGCCTGACGACACGAATACTCACTTGAAAGTTTTGAAAAGGACGGTCTTGTATGTATCATTCTTGTGGAAGCTGCTGTTTCCTGTTTGGATTAGTGGCTGCCTTGCGGTACAGGGCTGTAACAACCTTCTACATTGTTCATCTAGTCGGGATTTTACCATTTTGGGTTGAGGCTACGAGAAATAATAATTGTTTAAAATATAAAATATGCATTCATACATTAACTCACATATTCTCTGTCAAAAATATACTTTCTCTCTCTCTCTCTCTCTCTCTCTCTCTCTCTCTCTCTCTCTCTCTCTCTCTCTCTCACACACACACACACACACACACACATATACACACACAAACAAACAAAAACAAAAAAAAAAAAAGATAAAATCCCGCTTGTACTCTCCATTAGTGATCTGCTTTCGGAGGACAACCCGCTTGTACTCTCCATTAGTGATCTGCTTTCGGAGGACAACCCGCTTGTACTCTCCATTAGTGATCTGCTTTCGGAGGACAACTTAATTCATGAAAGTTTATTGACTTGATAAGTGATGGGGGTGCAAAATATGATTTCCGTGAAATGTCTTGCAATGATTTTTGGATTGAAATGACACAGTCCTATCCCAAAGATGCTAAAATGGCTCTATGACCGCTGATTCCATTGGCAACCACTTTTGAGTGTGAGACGGCTTTTTCAAACTTACTTGATATAAAAAAAAAAATTAAATAAATCCCGAAACAGATTAGACGCGAAAAATAGCGTAAGAGTTTCACTGGTCAAAACAAAGGCGAGCCTAGAAGAACTGGTTACGGAAAAGCAGATGCACCCACCCCATTAAATGTACATTTGGTGACTAAGATTTGCTGTTTTCTGAATAAACAACTGTTTGTCAAAAGTGGGTTAATAACAGTAACCCATATGCTAATCGTAGCTAATTATAAAGGGTCCGCGAGCATTCAAAATGGACCATGAAATCCTAAAGCAGTTTGAGAACCACTGACTTCGAGACTGATGTCTGATTCTATTTTAATGAAAATTATTTTTTTCTACTTAATTGCACGCTATGTACCCGTAGTGTTGACAGAGGATTTATAAATGTATTATGCTAAAGAGTCAAAGTTGCCCGCAAGACCAACCAAAAAAAAAAAAAAATGTTGACCTTGCCAAAAATGCTAAGTGTGGCGATGTGAGTGGGGTTATGGAGGGGAGATGTGAGGGGGGTATGGATGGCGCAACACTTGATGTTTTTCATGTTCGTTTC